CTCTACCACTGAGCCACCTTCCCAGCCCACAATTGAGTTTTTTTAAAAAAGGGAAAGACACAGACATTTAACCAGAGGATATAAAGATGACATAACATGTTCAACATCAGTAGCTATTTGGGAAATTAAAAGTAAACCATGAGCCAGGCCCTGGTGGCTCACGCCTGTAATCCTAGCTACTGAGGAGGCTGAGTTCTAAGGATCACAGCTCAAAGCCAGCCTGGGCAGGAAAGTCCGTAAGACACTTATCTCCAATAAACCACCAGAAAACTGGAAAAGTGGCACTATGGCTTAATGGTAGAGTGCTCATCTTGAGCTGAAGAGCTCAGGGACAGTGCCCAGGCCCAGAGCTCAAGCACTATGACACACCCCACCCCCCAGAAAAAGTAAACTACGGCAATCACTGCATAGCTGTTAGAATGGTCACAATTAAAAATATAAACACAAAAAACAAAGTGACAATACCAAATACTGGCCTAGATAAATAGCAGGTAGAACTCTTAATGTAATGCTTGTAAGAATACAAAATAGCACAATCACCCTGGAAAACAATCTAATAGTTTCTTAATCAAATTAAATAAATACCAATGACCATAAAAGCCAACAATCCCACTCCAAAAATAGAAACTAAGGTTCACACAAACCTATGAAAATCTCTGTATTATTCTGTTCCAACTACTATACCTGGGAAGTATACAAAATACCCTTCAACTGATGGATATAGAATGTCACATCTTCCTAATGGAATACTACTCAGCAGTAAAAAAAAAAAAAAAAGGATGAACTACTTATACACTTAACATTTTATGTTAATTTGAAAGGCTTTATGCTGACTGAAAATCTAATTTCAAAAGCCTACATAGCACATGATTCCTTCATATGCAACTTACACTAAGACAACTAAAATGAGAAAGAACAGGGCTGGGAAGGTGGCTCAGTGGTAGAGTGCTTGCCTTGCAGACATGAGGCCCTGGGTTCGATTCCTCAGCACCACATAAGCAAAAAAGAAAAAAGCCAGAAGTGGCACTGTGGCTCAAGTGGTAGAGCGCTAGCCTTGAGCTGAAGAGCTGAGGGACAGCACCCAGGCCCAGAGTTCAGGCCCACGACCAACCAAAGAAAAAAAAGAGAGAGAGAAAGAACAGGCTTGTCAGGCATTATGAGCGAGGGATAAGTAAGAGGGCAATAGACTATTCTGAATACAGATTATAGTGGTGACTACATGAATGTGTAAACATTAAAATTTATGGAACTGTGTTCCAAAAACAAACTGGCCCATATTGTATACTTGAAAGAAATAAATGCAATCAACATTCCAAACAAAATGTACACAAATAAACCAGTGTTTCTTTCTTCTTTTAACAAGAGTTAACCAGAATTCTAGCTTTCTAGTATTTTAGCAAACAAAATTAGTATTATCATCACCACCACCACCACCACCATTATCATCATCATCATCATCATCCATACTAGGGACTGAGACCAAGGCCTGTGGTGTATGCCTGGGAATAGCTTTACCACTGATCTATATCCCAAACCCTAAAATAATTATTTCAAATGTTTTAGAAATTATTGAGTATGAAAGTATCTTACATGGATAATTAAGTAAAATATGCCAGGAACCTATTAAATGATACAGGACCTAGACTACTAGCTACTAGTAGCCAAATTTAGGAAATCTGAGCACTAAAAAAAAGCCAATAACACTAAACAAGCCAATGGTGGGTGGCTTATGCCTATAATCCTAGCTACGCAGGAGACTGAGATCTGGGAATGAGGTTCAAAGTCAACACACAGAAAAGTCCTTGAGACTCTCCAATTAACTACCAAAAAAATCTGGAAATGGAGCTGTGGCTCAAGTGGTAGAGCGATAGCCTTGAGCATTTAAGCTCAGCGACAGTGTCCAGGGCTTGAGTTCAAGCTCCAGGACTGGCACACACATAGAAATACACATTTTAAACCTTTGAGGAAAATAGAAAGGTATGGCTCTGATTAACATAATTTAAAAAATAATAAAATGATGAGAGTTAACTATTTCCTCACAAGATATATACTAATTATAAAAATGAAAATAATTGTAAAGTGAAAAGGCTTGGTTTATGCCATCTTGACCATGAAGTCAAAGCTAATTATCATTACGAATGTGAAAAGTTCAAAACTGTGTGCCACTTGAAAGGAGACAGAGTGAACACAGCATTACTTCAGGATATTCTTGCCAAAGGTGAAATACCTCGTAATTACAAAACAAACTAGTATGCAAACTCACTCTGAGCTGGATTCATCTTGGTGTTGACTAGCTCCTGTAGCCCTTAGACATAAATGGAAAGTAAGATAGAAAGGATTTTGTTAGAGTCAAGTTCAAAAAATTTAGCATAGTACTTCTAATTTATAGGCAATGCAGGAATAAGAGAAGCAAGTTTAAATACACTGGAATGACATGACATATTCTTCAAGACAAGCAGTCTAGGCTCCTCAACAAGTTCATGTCATGAAATCACACAGGTGCTGTTCTAGGTGAAAAAAGATTTAAGACATGTAAAATGGAAATAAAAGTCATGTTCTTCAACTGGATTCTGGTTTGAAAAAGAAGGATATAAAAGAAAGTTTTAGAGAACAAATTTTAGCATACAACTGGTATTTTTGGAGTGCTATTAGAGAAACTATTGTATTAATTTTATAAAGATGCTAAAGATAAAGTATTATGGCATTTATAATATACTATTCCCTAAAAATGCTCCTAATTATCAGACATCAGTGTATATGAGTGTGGAGCGCAACATTTTTCCTACTTTCTTATATTCTAACAACTTCACAACACAAAGTAAAAGTAAAATAAAATGATAGGAAGTAACAATACTACATAAGGTATCAGGAAAAACCAGCATAACAAATTAGTCCAAGAGCAGAATTCTTGAAATCCAGTAAAATACAATAAAATTATATATCAATGAAATTGATAAAACATGAAGAAAAATATAGGGAAAAGTAAGCAAATGGAAATATAAGAATCCAGAATATTTTGTAACTTTCCATAGTTACTCTAATAACCATGAAATCTAAATTTAAGTTTTATTGCCATTACTAAAACCGTGCAAGGACATAGAGACATAGTTAACATCTTCCAAAGAATTCAAGAAAGTTATCAAATCTCTCTAAAGTCTGTAAAGTTAGGGAATTAAGTCATTTATGAAGCAAAACATTGTTCTATTGCCACATCTTGTTTTAACACTGTCAAATTTTGGATTCTCATTGTTTCCGTTTCTATTCAGAAGTCTCCATGTTTATTTGAGTATTTTATTGCATGTTGACACTGTTATATAAAAAGTGGCATGTGGCACTTGGGATTAGCAACCCAAGTTGCAATTTAAGATTGTTAATTCTACTGAGAAAGATTACAGGCTTTCCAAACTTTTAAAGTTGGAAATCACTAAATAGCAAGTATATCAAAACCTTAACCACAATAAGATATTCAATAAACAACAGCACTGGAGTAGTTATTCACTTCTGACCAACACCACCTTCTATTTTATCATACTATTCCTTTTACTAACCCAACTGCAAGAATTCTTTTAACTCCACTGCAACCTACCCCAATCTAAGCCTAACTACTATGTCTTCACATATTCAGTTCATATCATAATAACTGTTCTCTTCATCTTCAATATCCTTGCTTCTCTCTGCCATTCTCAACTAGGAAAACCCCAACTGGATAAATCCTTTGAAATGTCTATTTCACAGTTCAAGCCATGAAGTAAACAATGTAGAAAAACGTCACTTTATTTTAAATTCCTGTATACTAATCTAAAATGGGTCTTTGGTACAACCTGGAATTCTTTCTCCAGGGTATACCTTTTTTCTCAGTAAGACCCAACCCTCCTTTTCTACTGTCACTCTCACTTCAGAACCTAGCTGCAAATTTCATTAAACAAATAATAAATAATGGTAAGAAATCTCACCTTTGCGACTACCTAACCAGGTATACCCAAGGCGGTACCCTGTGCTTTGCCCAAGTTTTGAACAGTGTGCCATCTTTCTTCAAAACTGACTCTACATTGTAGTTTAAACTCTAGTCTTCACATTCACTTTAAGAAATCAATCCAACAACTGTCCTCTCTCCTGCATGATAAATCTTTCCTGGATCATTACAAACCAGCACATAAACATTCTATAATTTTTTTTTGGGGGGGGGGTCCAGTCATGGGGCCTGAACTCTGGGCCTGGGCACTGTCCCTCAGCTCTTCAGCTCAAGGCTAGCGCTCTACCACTTGAGCCACAGCACCACTTCTGGCTTTTATCTTTTTGCTTATGTGTGCTGAGGAATCGAACCCAGGGCCTCAGGCATGCAAGGCAAGCGTTCTACCACTGAGCCACCTTCCCAGCCCTATAATTTCATTTTCTGTTCCCACTTATTGGAAAATTTCACTCCAAAATTATCTACTTACTATCTTTGATTCTTCTTCTTTCCCTCTGCTGAACAAACACCACCACGTAAGTTTACATTCCTACCAGCAACTTCACTAATGACTTCCATATTGCTAAAGAGGGTCATATCAGCAAACCTTGATCATTTTATTATCAGCATTACTGACAACTCTTTGACCCTCCCTTGAAATTCTTTTCATGTCTTCCAAAACAAAATCCTCTTGGAGTTTCTTCCCATTTTCCTCCTTCTTGGTGCCCTTTGCATTTCCTCCTCCTCTATGATGGAATCCCCCTAGGTTCAATCATATTTTATGCATACTTGCTCTAATTGTGATCAAATTCAGTACTATGGCTGTTAATTCCATCTTTCACTCAATATTGCTCAATTTTTACCTGTAGCCTTACAACACTGTATCATGCATTCATCTGCCAAATTTATACCTCCACTTGTATGTTCATTACGGACCTCTAACTTAAGTATTTCTTCCCAAACCATACTTTTGATTTACTACTCCTTTTGTAGTCTTCCCCATTTTGGTAAAGGATCCCTCCATCTTTCCTGTTACCCAGGCCAAACAAACCTTGGAGACATCCTGGACTCTTCTTCTCTCACAGTCCACATCTGATCCATCAGTAAATCCTGCCGTCTCCACCTTCAAAACATATGGGAATTTTCGCTCACTACTTCCAAATCTACCACCCCAATCCAAACCACCACCATCTCTTTCCTGTATCAGTGGAAATGCTTTTCCTTATTGATCTTCATCTTTCATCCTTGCCTCTCCAAATAACACTATGATACTTTAAATAATATTAGGATTTGGATCTAAAAGGTTGCCCAAAAGTTCATGTGTTGAAGACAAAGTGTACAGAAATAGGGCTTGAGAAGTGATTGAGTCACAAGAGCTTGAATATCATCAGTGGACTAATCCACTGACTGATTTATAGCTTATGAGGTATTGGGGGAGTAGTAGAAACTTCAGGCGGCCTTGGACCTTTCTTCCCCCTACTCTATTTCCTAGCAGCCATAAGGTGAGCTTTGCTCTATGACATGATGCTCTACCACACCACAGGCCCAGAACAATGGAGGTAAGAAACCATGGAATGAAACCTCTGAAACTGAATACCTTTCTTATTTAAACTGATTTTCTAAGGTATTTTTGTCATAATGAGAAACACAAGGAAGTAAATCAGATTATTTTATTTTCTAACATAAAGTTTCTCGGTGACTTACCATTTTCTCTATAATCAAAGTTTTTATAATGGTTGACAAAAATCCCATAATACTATAATGCTTCCATTCTCAGCCTCCACCACTCTCCCTCTTATAAATTCCAAACGAGAAAACACATAACACATTCTAGAAGTATACCATTAAATATTGAATCTAATCTTTGCCTTGTATTTGCAGATAGTGTTATTACTATTAGTATTATCAACATCATCATTTGTCTGTAAGCAGAGAACCAACTTAACAGTAAGGACATCATTAAGCTTTCACCCATATTCATGGACTTCTTTTATTGCCAAACAAAATGAGTTCCTAAACATGTGTATACAAGTGGAATTTGTTCTTAAACCAGTGCCTTTTCAACTTAGTGGGAAGGTAGGGACTAAACAACAAATGCTATAATGATAATGAGGTTATTAGCAGTCTTGAAAGTAGATTCTCTCTTCAAAAATAAGTCATATTGGAAAGATTTTTCAAAAAACCAAAATGATATAAAAATATAGATAACTGGAGTGTACATAGCTTTTCTGGGTGCTAAGGATTAAATCCGGGGCCTCACATGTGCTGTACCAGAGAACTACACACTCTACCCCATATAGTGCAGCTTTCATTTATTTTGACAAAAGGTGTTGCTATGTAAAGCCGGCTGGGATTGTATGTACAATATTTCTGCTTCAGCCTCCCAAGTGCTAAGATAATAGGCATACAATATCTGGTCCTTAGAATGCTTTAACTTTGTAGGACTGGAAAGCGAGATGGAATTCAAACTTGGGTAGCATCAGGGAGAGTCACAGACTAGTTTCTATAAAAAGTTCAAAACTTCAATTATATTTTTAAATGATTATTGCTAAAACTAAAATCAATCTCACAAGATAAAAAAAGAAATATTATTTGTTCCAAAATTGAGATAAAAGCCACACATTTTAAATGTATAAAGAGAAAATATGTCAATAACAAGTAAACAATAATATTAAAGGCTAGCACACAAGAAATGTGCAATTTGTAGAAGAAAAAAATGAAAACATAAAAGTATACTCAATCTAGAGTATTCAAAAGATGTGAAGAAAAACATGAGATACATCTCTTATACTATGTAACTGAAAAAGAGTTAATAAATAAGACTCAATGAGCTGTTTCACTTTTGAAGGGGTTGTATTTTGACCCTAATTGTTCTAGACAGCAGCTGATAAGTATCAAAAAAAATTTTAAGTATCTATTTAGAATTTTTACTAGTATTTAATCTAAGGACAGATTCAAATAACTTTTAAAAATGTACACATAAGAATTCAGTAGAACTACTGATAAATTTAAAATATAAATAATAATCTAAATATCTACTAACAGCACTGTTCATTTAAATTAAATCTTAGTATATTTTTACATTGGAAATTTATATAAGCACTAATTATTGGCATGAAATAGTGGTTTATTAAGTGAAAAAAATTCTAAGTTTCAAATAACATATATTTTACAATTCAAACCTATGGTTATGATTACTTTAGTTAATTACACTGCTTAGATTTCCTATATGTGAGTTATCATATACAAGCAGACAAAGTAGTTAGTGAATTTTCACAGTGAAATGCTACTAAACTTAGGATATACATTTCTGTGTGCTGGGAACTTCAGCTACTCATTTATGGTCTCAGAACAGTCTAGAGAAAAGGATGGTCAAGGGACTGTTCAGTGATTTATGCAATAATTTATGAGTTTAGTATATTCTGTGGTATCAGACTATATTTTTGACATATTCTATTCAACTACATGTTGGTGGCATTTTTCTTTTGCCTAAGCTATATAGACTCTTTAACATGAACAATTAAGAAAAATTTAAAACTCTTTTCCAAATACAACAAACTAAGAACTTTCCCAGGTAAAATAATTACCTATCTCCCTTTGGTTTTCTTTTTTGTAGTGTCTTCCCTTTGGGTCTTCTTTCACTTCCTAAACAGGGACTCCCACCTGGTCCTGTTACCCGTATTGATTCAAGGCCTTTGGAAGATTTCTTAAATGTGAATTCCACTGGTTCTCCTTCTTTTAAACTTCTAAATCCTTCCATGAAAAGTTTACTCTGTAAAAAGTAGGGAGACAAGGAGAAAGAAAGATTATGATTATAAATTACTGCTAAAAAGATTTGCAAAGCAAGTTACAAGTTGTCTATAACAAAAGCATAGTTTTCTTTAATCTCTGAAATGTATACATTTAATGTTTATGATGTCAATGCTGACAAAGAGAGAATAAACCAACATGTTTTAAAAAAGCAATTTGGTCATACAAAAGTACAAGGGACTAGGAAGGTGGCTCAGTGGTAGAGTGCTTACCACCCATGTATGAGGCCCAGGGTTCGATTCCTCAGCACCATATAAGCAGGAAAAAAACAGGAATGGTGCTGCGGCTCAGGTGGTAGAGTGTTAGTCTTGAGCTGAAGAGCTGAGGGACAGTGCCCAGGCCCAGAGTTCAGGCCCCATAACCGACAAAAAAAAAAAAATTAAAGTACAAATTCTTTGACTTAGCTATAAATAAACTTTCTATTTTTCATGGAAAATAGACTCAGCAGTCTGGTAAAATAATTAGAACCATCTAATGTTCATAAATCTCACTGATAAAATAAATTATAATAGAGCCATATGATATAACATTATTAAAGCATTAATTTTTATTTGAGATCTATATACACTGACATAGGAAGAGCAAAAAAAATTAACAAATGATATGTCACCATAATACCATTTTATAAAGTTGTTAAAAGAAACATTCTTCTTTCTAGTGAGATAGGGTACAGAACAGGACAGTAAACCACATAAAATCATTTTTACCAGTTCTGTTTGGGAAGATGATGAAATCTCCTAGATCTTCTCTACTATACTTTTTGAGCTTTTTACAAAAAATGTTGACTTTTATCATTTGAAATATAGTTTATTTTTTGCAAAAACTTATTTCTAATTAAATTATAGCCTTGGTTTCAAATACTCATTGTCTTTTTCAATATTAATTCCCTTATCAACATGAATACACTGCTTCAAAATATACCAAAAACTATTTTTAAATGATTAACTTATGTACTTAAATCCCTTTGCATATACTGTAAAAGCCTTTCCTGAATTCAAGGGGCAATTCAGAAATTAAACTTTGGGGGGGGGCAAGTAAAAATAAAGTTCTTTATAAAATTGTTATTGTTATTTCACTACAGAACAGAAAACTGCCAAATATAATAGCTAAATACAGTGGCTCCCCATACCCACAATTTCACTTTGTTTGAGTGGCCTGAAGTCAACAATGATCATATTTAATGGAAAATTTCAGAAATAATTCACACATTTCAGATTCCATGATGTAATCTGTAGCCATCCCACTCAGAACATGAATCATCCCATCATCCCACCACTTGCCCATTTAATAAACAACCATACTGGTTATCAGATCAACAGGTGGTTCTCTACTGGTTACAGGCCTTATAGTACAAGAATACTGATGCCAACAATTCATACATACCTAAAAGTAGCTATAAAATGCTTCCTTTAAATGAAAGGCAAAAGTTCTTAATAAGAAAAGAAAACCTTATGCTGAGGTGCTAAGAGCAACACTAAGAACAAATCTAGACAGGTACCTGGGATTCAAGCTTTTGGGGGGATTATGAGGATCTTCAGCCCAGGCAAAAAAATCATTTTCGAAGTCATCTTAACCAAAGAAAAATTACTGGACCTAGTAGTACACCTATCACCCTACCTACATGGAAAGTGTAAGATCTAGGCTGGATGAGGCATTAACAGGAGACCATATTTGAAAAATAAATAATTAAAAAGGGCTAGGTTCTTGGCTCAAGTGGTAGGGCTCCTGTCAATTAAATGCAAGGGTAATTAAAAGCCCAGTACTGCAAAGAAGGTGGAGGGAAGGGGGGAATTCATGCTGGTTTTGCTTCAGGACTTCAAATTACAGTCACTATGGCTAACAGGTGCTTAGTGAAAAAGGAAATTACATTTTTTAAATTTATTTAGAAGAAAAAAACATAGCATACATACAATTTAGTATTACAGTACTTTCCCTAGATCATCCATAACCTGCTGGACATCTTACAATGCATATCCCACAAATAAAGGAAGATTGCTAAAATTGTAATTAAAATAATTACATGGAATAAATTAAAACAGTATTTCAAAGTTTAATGAAAAAGGAGAGTACTCGTTGTGAAAGTAATGCATGAAAACAGTTAATAAATCTACTTTTTGCTGGGCATTGGTGGCTAATGCCTGTAATCCTAGCTACTCAGGAGGCTGAGATCTGAGGATCGCGGTTCAAAGCCAGCCCGGGGAAGGAAAGACCGTGAGACTCCTATCTCCAATAAACCACCAAAAAACCAGAAGTGGCACTGTAGCTCAAGTGGTAGAGCGCTCGCCTTGAGCTGAAGAGCTGAGGGACAGCACTCAGGCCCAGAGTTCAAGCCCCACGACCGACAAAAATAAATAAATAAATCTACTTTTTTACAGCAGGTCATTGAACATAATGAAATTCTTCACACTGAGGTCTAAAATTTGACAGCTTCTTTTCTGCTGTTTGATGGTACGTAGTGGGGGGAAAAGAATTACAACTGCCTACACTCTTTAATAAATCATCATTTCAAAAGTTATTTCAGCTATTTTAAAGCATCTCTTCTATTTTCTGCACACCAACTCTTGCATTTATTTCTTTTCTCTTTTCCCATTCAAGGTAGAACAGATTATTTCTTTTAAATCGGACAACACACAGTTTAACTACTCAAATAATAAGAATGAAGGAACAGCAGCTTTAATTATAGGTATCAAATATTCATATATTTTATTCCTAAAACAAAATTTGTCACTTATTTATCTTCTATTATAGTGTACACTCACCTTCTTTTGATTTCATTTTCCATCATTAAGATTTTTTATAAGTAAACTGCTTTTCCAAATTTAAAGTAAAATTCTGGCTCTTACAGACTACTAAATTCTGGTTATTTTTCATGATACTCTGTAAGAATACTTTTATTTCATCATACATGTTCTTCCTGTTCCCCAAATTAGTATTTAAGACAATTTAGGTAGATAAACTTGACAATAAATAATTAATATGTACTACAATGTATGGCAAAAAAGACAAGAGCTCCCAGAGAATATCTCTCTTCGCTATTAAACCAAAAGAGCTAAAATATGAGTTACTAAAAGGTGAAGAATTACCTAAATATATTTTGTCACAAAAATCAACTGAATTTTTATTAAAGGGTCCTCTATTTTTCTAGTCATATTGATTCCACTGCTTATTTGTAACTAAACTATTTATTGAATCGTGTCCATTTTTACCTCACAATTTTTTTCATCTCTACCATTCATATCACTGGAATACTATTCCCCTATTTCAGGCCCTAATATACCCTACCAGGATAAGTATACTCATTCTTGCATTATTTCTACATCGTCTCCTCCCTAATCCACAGCACTCTCCACAGCTGGCCATTCTCTCTGAATACATTAAGTTTATTAGTCTCTATCTCAGAAATCTGTAAATACCACTTTCTTAGATTTTGGGTGAGATTGTTTATACCCTTACCTCTATTCTAAAAAAACAAAACAAAACAAAAAACCCTCCTTTAGTAATACCAGTTTGTATGAACTTCCATGAAGATTATCTCACCTCATCTAGATTATTCTGGTTACAGCAACACTCCCCTATTCATAGTTATCTATGAAAATCTTATTAAATCTTCAAGGCATAACTCAAATGTTTCCCTCAGTTGCCCCAATCTGATCATTCTTTTCTCTTTCACTTGATTTTTTTCATGTAGAGGTTATAGTGCATTGATGTACTATGCAAATAATTACATACATCTTCCACATGTTTTGCTCCTTTGGAATTATCTTGTAATTAAGGCTAAAGAATGTAGTGTATATCTTAGTATTTTACAAAGGGCCTAATGCAATTCTAGGTTTAGCACCATTGAAATCAAACATTTATTAAACTCTTATTTAAAAAAATAAATAAATAAAAGCATGAACCAAGCTTTATAAGTGCCTTTGCTCATGCAAAGTGAAATTGTATGGATCTTACTTCTGCTATAAAAAAATAAATTCTTACTGGGCACTGGTAGCTCACACCTATAAATCTAGCTAATCAGGAGGCAGAGCTCTGAGGATCATGGTTCAAAGTCAGCGTTGAAAGGAAAGTCTTATCAGACTCTTATCTCCAATTCACCACAGAAAACCAGAAGTGACACTGGCTCAGATAGAGCACTAAACTTGAGCAAGAACTCAGGGGCAGTGCCCAGGCCCTGAGTTCAATCCCCATGACTGACAATAAATAAGTAGATTAATTAATTCTTTTATGCTTAGTGTCAAGATGACACTCACTATACTTGATTTTTCTGGAATAAAATGTAGATAACACTGTAATAGTTTAAGATAGTAAAACTATCCTTCTTCTGACTCCACTCAAAGCTAGTATGTATTTATTTCCTTGTTTGTCCTTTCTTCTACGCATTTTAAGGAAACATCACCCATACTCAATATGCCTCATGATGTTCCAACCACCTAATTAATGAATGCAAATTAATGACTACCTAGACAAGTTAGGGCCTTCTGGTGTTTAGACTTTTTACATCTGTACCATTTACTTAGACAAAATATAGGAAAGTCATATGGAGAATAACTACCACTAAGTAAAAAAGTAAACAAAGGAATGACCAAATGAATGAAGAACCTTAAAAAAAAAAAACTGCTAACAGCTGGGCACCAGTGGCTCAGATCTGTAATCCTAGCTATTCAGGAGGCTGAGATCTATCTAAAGATAGCAGTTCGAAACCAGTTTGGGTAGGAAAGTACAAATGGCACTGTGGCTCAAGTGATAAAATGCTAGCCTTGAGAAAATGGAACTCAGAGATAGCACCCAGGCCCAGAGTTCAAGCTCCAGGACCCACAAAAGCAAGACAAAACAAAACAAACAACAATAGCAAAACAAACAAAAAAACCTGTTAACAGCATACCGGTGACTCAGGCCTGTAATGTTAGCTGAGACTGACATCTGAGGATCATGGTTCGAAGCCAGCCCAGACAGAAAAGTCTG